CGAAGCCCGGGAATCCACCCTCCCGGGGCGGGTAACCCTCGACATGCAGAGGGATGAGGGCCGCCCCTTTCCCGGCGGAGGCCCCGCGGGCTTCCGATCACCAACCGCCCCCCCCCGCCCCGATCTACATTTTGCGGGGTGCGGGGGACGGCTTCTGGAAGGCGATGCCGAGGAGCCCGCCCGCGCCCGGGAGGGAGCCGACGGTGAGGCGGGCCGGCCGGGGCCGCGGCGGAACCGGCTGAACCGACTGCGACCGCGGGCGGGGAGCGGGGCCCGCCCGGTGTGAGGACGCGGACCCTGGAACCGCCCGGGGAACAGAAGGAAAGGCGGCCTGGAAGCGCGGGATGCCAGCGCTCCCAGGCACCACTGACCACCGCCCATTGCCTACTAGATGAAAAAAATAAATAAATAAAAATGACAGCTCGTCTTTGCAAAGATGCAAGTTTCTGTTTTTTTTTTTTTTCTTTTCATTGCAGCTCCAAGTGGTGACTCTAAGAGAGGGCCACTTGAGGCTTTTTGGGGGCGACAGTGCTCTTTCCCAGGTCCCCACCAGTAATCTCCAAATTGGTAAATGTTTTTCTTTGGCGCCTTTCAGGCTGAGACCTGAAGTGCAGCATCACCTGGTCAGTGGCTCTAGGACGCTGTAGATGTCTTGTTTTATAGGGAGGTTGCTGCAAATTCAGATTGGGAATTCAGAAAGGAAAGACCCACCTGTGGGCAGGTTGCTAGTAAGAGCAGCATTAGGTGTCAAAGAAGGTTTGGAATTAATTGCGCCCTGGGTTTAGGCCTGGGGCAAATGCCAAAAGATTCAGGGACAGTTGAATGGGGGAAAAGCCATGACTGTTTGCTTTCAGGAAGGGATTTTTCATCCCTGCATTTACCTAGGAAACTTCAAGCTTTAGCAGGGTACACTCAGAGCAGTTCTCCTTGTTTGCAGGGTTGGTTTATTTTATTTTATTTTTTTTCATACACTCAAGCTGCTGGGACTCGAACATCAGCTACAAATAAGTTTTTTTTTTTCCCATAAGCATGAAAAAGTCAAGGGGCATGCCAGCAAATCTTGCATGTAATGTTGCAGTGTTGAAAAGGATTGAAGGAGAAAAGTTTGGCCTTATATAAGAAAAGGAATGGGCTCTGAAAGTCTCATTTCATTCACTTCGAAAAACCAGTGGCACGTTTTCCTCAGAGAAAAAAAATCTTTAAAGTGAAGCAGAACTGAAAAGTTTTTCCCTGAGAGTTATGTTACAAATAAGTGGTAGTGTATTATTTAAGAAATTCCAGGTTTTAAGAGGAGTCCTGCTTAACTGCCCCACTTCTGTACGGCTTAGGAGTCCATCAGGCATTTTTACTGCTCACTTCTGATCCTCACGCTTTCCTGTATCAACTCAGGACTGACTTTCCCAACTCGGCTGTGAAAAAAAAATTGTCACCACAGCTAGAGGCAGACGCTTTTTTCTGCTCAGGAACTCTCCGTGCAGAGTTCTGATGAGGTGTGAGAGTCGAGGATCTTCAAACTTTCTCCTTTATAACTGACAGGGACAGAGTTGGGGCTTTATCAGGGAAAACAAGCTGATATAATTTATAGGGATATACAGGAAGCAGATGTCTGCCTTGGCAAAATGCCATTTTTCTAGCCCCGTTCTAAGCATAAACCACACTTCTAAATAATGAGTTACTAACTAATGAGATCCAAAAATAAGTTGTCAAAATAGAAGAAGGGGGTAGACTTTTGAGTGACCAAGGGCCTATTTTTAAAAAATCCATTTCCAACAGGGGTTGGGGGGAAAGAATTAATATTCTCTAAGACCATTAATTAGTGTGATTTCAATCAGTGCCTGCCTGGGGCTTTACCTCTCTGCTCACTGAGCCTCTCTCTGGTGATGAGTATTCTGAGGGTTTTAATGCTTTGTTAAAATGAAGTCCTTTGCTTGGGGGAAAAACCAACAACTCCACAAAAACCAAGTTTGTCAAGGAGCTTTGGTGACCTGTCTCTTTGCTACTATTAATTAGCTCCCTCCTCCAAGGAAGAGACAAACTGACTTCCTACCAGGAATCTCATCTCTTCCTGATTTTTTTTTTTTCTGGTCCATTAGGATATTTCCATGTCTAGTATTAGTAAACTCCATCCGGACTTGACCAATAAAACTGTGTGTATTGAGGGAAACAATTATAGTGTAGTTCATGCCTCTTATCCAAAATGGTTGCAAATGGAGTGTTTGGATTAATTAAATAGTCCTGCTAAAATTTTCAGTTTTTATCTAATTTGCCAGTTTTCAAAGAAACACTGGATATAAAAGAAAAGTTACAGAGCTAAATAAATGACAATTAAGATTCAAGATCCTGCTGAATTTTCCAGGTCAAGGGGGTCTTTGCTGGATCGTTCATTTATTCAGTAAATATTCTTACAGGTTTGAGGTGTTGGGAAAATGGGCAGGGACTTGTGCTCATGGATCTTGGGGTCTGGAGGGGAAGATGGACATTCAGCAAAGATTCTGCAGGGAAGCTGAGTTTGTTATTGTGATGGGTGCTGGGATGGGCCCTTGCCAGCCGTTGGGATTCAGTATTCTGGGTGCAGTTAATTCATTAGTTCATCCAGTCAGCCGAGACTTTAATGAGGACCTACTGCACTGGGTACAGAGCAGTGAACAAAAATGAGTAGATCAGTTGTCTGCAAGCTTCAGGGAGCCTGAGAATCACCAGTGCTGGTTAAAAGAAAGGTTTCAGGGACCACCTCCAAGACATCAGGCATTGGACCTGGAACTCTGAAATTTTCACAAGCACTGTGTGCAAGCCAATTCAGGTGGCTCTTGTACAATGCTGAGAAAAAAAAAAGTGTTGATTAATTGTTCTTGCAGCATGCTTTAAAAATGAGAATTCAATCGATTTGGGGGAGGAGTGTTTAAAAAAATTGAAGAATCCTTCTGAGATGGTTAGAGCTAGAAAGGGTCCGTGAGAATTTCTCCTGCAAGAGTTCTGGATTGGAGGGTCTGTGGTCCCTGGGAAATCAGATGGACAGTTTTTTGTGTGTTTAAGGATATTTGGGGGGAGAGGATCGATAAGTTTTAACATATTCTTAAAGAGGACTGTACTCCCACTGCCTCCCAAGGTTAAGTCCCTCTGTGTGACTCTGTGAGGTGACAGATGAGAAAACAGAGGTACTGGGCAACTCCAGGGGGCGCTAGTCAGGCCCTGCCCTGTGGACTTGTGCAGAGTGGCAGCCGCCAGAGAGAAAGGAAGTTGTGCAGTCCTTCACTGTTGGACTCTGTCAGCATCCTTTGAGGGATGTTTCTGAATTTGGAGTGGACCTGATCATTGAAAAGTAAATTTAACTTCGGGCATCTTTTTGTCTTTTTCATTCTAGAAAAGCTGTTCTTAAATAACTTGTGTTTTTTCCATGAATGCCCCTGGATAATCAAGGAAAAGAAATGGAAGTTACTGGAAGAGGTGGTGCTACCAGGCCATGCGGCCTCTGGGACTTCAGCTTTTTTCTCGTTACTTACTCCAGGTTTCTTGTACAATAAAGAATTTGCAGTTCTTTTGCAAATTTGAGTTGACTCAAAAATCTTCCCTCTGGTACTTGAATTCTTCGTCGGTGAAGCAGTTGCTTATTTTATTTCACTAATTGTTGTTTTTTTTTTTATTGAAGTGTAATTGACTTACAGTGTTAGTTTCAGGTGTACAGCAAAGTGATTCAGTTATACATATACATTCATATATATATTTTATTCGGATTATTTTCCATTATATGTTATTACAAGATATTGAATATAGTTTCCTGTGCCAGACATTAGGTCTTTGTTGTTTATCTACTTTATATACAGTAGTGTATATCTCATGGACGTGGAAAACAAACTGTGGTTACCAAAGGGGAAAGTGGCGGGGAAGACGGATACATTAGGAGTTCGGGGTTAACTGATACACACAAATTGTTCTTTTGATTGAACACGATGAGGACTGCTAAATGTAGAAAATGAGGTGGATGATTCCATGGAAGGAGTGCTCACCGAATGTAGCGGTCTAGGTAGCTTGAGGAGAACCTGGTAGAGAGGGAGCTTGTCATCTTTTCCTGTGTTCTTTGTAGGTATAGATCATGACTGCAAAAAAAAAAAATGAACATGAACCAGAGTGCAAATTGATGAATGATGAGTTAGGGCGATTATCACATGAATGAAGCCAATGAAAGACGGGCTAACTGCACTTGCCTTGAGCTGAGTTTTCTTATTTCTTAAGTGGTTCCAGCCTTTGCTGTCAGCGGTCTATTGCCTTTTCCTGTAGGATCCAGAATGTTGTTCTATCACCTTTGTTTGTTTTAAAAACAGAGCTTGAATGAATGGAAATGTCCTCATGGTTTAAGAATGCTTAAAGGGCATGGTTTACCTGAATGAATTCGGTTCAGGAGGCATATTGCAATTCATGTATCTTAGTGAGGGAAGCAGAAACCACTGGCTGCTTGACCAGAATTCTCCTCTGATTCAGAACTTGGAGTTAGGCTTGGATTGGAGATGTTGTCGGTCCCTCTTTAAAACCTCTAATTGAGAACTAAAAAGCTTCTAATGTCCTTTCTTCTAAAGTCAGCCACCTGAAGAGATGTTTGTAGATGTGGCTTAAAAGAGTAAGGTGACACTTGGATTTCTCACCATAAACAAAGCTGAAAATGGAGCTATTTAGACCATTTCATAACAAATGCCCAAGAGGAATTTGAGGAAAATCCTACATCCTGGACAGGTCCCCCTGCTGCCCTTTTGCAGGTGTAGACAGAGTTCGACTGGCTTGTTCCTAGAACTTCGAGGCTTTTTTGCAAGAAAACCTATGGGTAAAGGGCTTCCTGATTTTGAGTTGGCTGGAAGTCTAGGCACCTCCTCCCGTGACAGGTGAAGTGGGCTTCGGGGTGAGATTTCCTTTTGTCCCCCACTCCACCTTTTTTAATTGAAGTGCAGTCAGTTACAATGGTCAGTTCCTGCTGATTGGAAGTTGATGGCGCTGTTGTCGGTTTCCCTCAGGCGTTCCTGGTCGCCGGGAGCTGAAGTGATGAGAAGACGCCATGGAGGCTCAGTCCCACAGCTCCACGACCACCGAGAAGAAGAAAGTGGAGAATTCCATAGTGAAATGCTCCGCTCGAACGGAGGTCAGCGAGAAAGCCGTGGCCTCCAGCACCACTTCCAATGGTGAGCGGCCGCGGGGATTACCGGCAGCCACGCTTCCAGTCTTTTTCCCTGTGCTCTGCGTTCCTGGGGAATTGAGCATCTGCACCTGGACCAGTGTTTGTGCGCTGAGAGGCTAAAGAAAGAGAATGGGAGTGGAGTTTTGGGGGTGGCGGTGGGGGGTGGGCGTTAGGGGATGGGCAGGCTCTAGTCGGCTCTCTTTTGGCAGCGAAACGACACGTTTTCTTCCAGGTTTTCTAATTTGAGATGTAAATGTGATAGGTTATTTATTATAGGAAGTTCCTGTTTTGGCATTTTGGAAATCATCTTGATTAGTCTGGCAGGAGTTCAAAATACTTTGCATTTCACATGGAAGGGCCCCACCCGTCGGAATAATTAGTTATTAGTGATGACGAAAGACTCAAAAGTTGCCTTGTCAAAATTGGTGGACACAGAGAAGGGTTTTAAAAGTTGTTCATGGTTGAGCCTCGGGTAATGCTAGTTTCTGAGATGCAGGTTTTGCTGTTGGAGTATAAAAATTTAATATTCTTTGTTTGCGTTCAGAGATAACAGAGCACCACTGTTTCTGTATGCTGTATTTCCTAATATTTTAAGCAAAGCATTGAGAGGCATTTCAACTCAAGCGTGGAGCATTGGAAATAAATTCCAGAGCCCCCTCTGGTAAAATCAGACTGAATAAGTTAATGGTAACCTTCACTTCCTCTCCCTACTTTTCCCCTCTTAAAGCTGTCAGTGCCTTAACTTTTTGTAGATTTCATAGCCACCCTGGTCTCTGCTAATTGCATTTCACTTTGCCACGTGACCCTAAAAAGGATGGGCTGTCCCGTTCTCCCTGTCCTGGACACTGCCTGTCTGGGTACGTGGATCTGTATCTGCCCCCTCCCTCTCTGTGGGTTTATATATGTATTTTGTTTACTCCAAGAAAGATGTGACTAGGTTGATTTCCCATTTTTCACTTGTAATTGGATGGTCAGAATCTGCTTTGCAAAGGTAGCAGACCAGAAAGGTAGACTGTAAGGGCAGATGTCCGGTATGAAAGCTGTACTTTTTTGTCCGAACTGTGACACTGCCTGAGCTGACCCCTCTGAGGAGCTCGGCCCTGCTCTCTGCGCCTGTCCTGGTCCATAGTTGCTCACATGCTCTCTTCCCCGATGTCACCAGTGTGCCCAACTGGCATGGCCGGGTGAGGGGAGGGGCTGGCATTCCACCTGCTGGCTAGCCAGTCCCATTTTGAATTGATTCTTAGGGAGATCTATTTATGTCTGAGTTAAAATAATGAATTTACTTTATATACATATGAAGATATGTCTAGACTTCTCCCTTTATTCGTGGTCTTTCAAGTCAGGACTAGAGCTTTTTTTTAATGGAACCAGAGATTTGCGTTATTCTTCCGAGTGGGTGATAGAAGGCATATTTCCTCCCTAAAAAACCCGAGGCCCTTGTTTCTTTTCTCTGGAATTTGCAAACATTAGGCACATTTATTATTTCAGAAATAGAATCAGTATAGAACGTGTTGGTTATTTGGTAATTTTAAAAGTAAATTTTGTAAGAAGAATCACTGTCTGGATATTACGCTTCATGAAACATCAACTTTTGGTTATTTTTATAGTGATGCGTGTGAATGTGAGGGGGTATGGACGTGAATGGGCGCACGGGAGCGTGTGTGCGTGAGAACAGTCGTGGGGTGTCTTTGGTAGAGGCCAAAGCTGTGCTGCGTGGGACCTCCTTGAGCCACTGTCCCTTCCTGTGAATTTCAGCAGAGTAGCAACAGCGACCGGTCTTGTGAAGGTGCTGTTCCTCCTTCTACTCCCGCGCCCAGACATGTGCCGGGCAAGGTTTGTGGCGCGGCTGTGTTTGTCCTGAGCCATTCTGATCACGCGCTCTCCTCATTAACCGGCTTCGGGTGACCAGGAACAGAATAACCTAATCAGCGCGTGGCCACCAGGAAGCCCCCGGGGAGCAGTGGCCAGGGAAGGCGCTGTCACGATTTACAAAAATTAGTCCTGAGATAGTCTCAAATAGGCACAGAACTGACTCCGAAACCGAATTCCACCGGCTTCCCGCCCTGATCAGCCTGGGTGCTTGAAGCACACTTGCCCTCCTGAGTGGATGGAAGGCACATCCTTCTTTGGGGGTGAAAGCTCATTCGTCGGGTTTGCGGGACTCGTGACCACATGATAGCTGTCCTGGAATCCTGGGAGCTCTGACCAGTTTTTCAGTGTTCTATTTCTTGTAAGGGATTTAGTACTTTTCATTTTGGGCTAACACAGAGACCCAACCAAGTAAAAGGAAGATGGAGGTGGTGTTTTTTCACAGGTGGTTTGCGGCCCTGCTGGAAGATTCCAGGGAAACCAGCAAACAAATGTAAAGATGGGAAAAAGTAAAACAGAGGAAAATCAATTTTCCCCCTGTGATTGCTCTGTGTAAACAATGCTGATAATTGGAATGATGTGCTTTTTTCACAGAGTCCTTTGCAGGATCCATCTAACTAGTTCAGAAGCCCTTTATGGCCCCAGAATCATGCTAGGGGGTGGAATGACCCAGCTTCTTTGTTCTGCCGGCTTCTACCTGGTGGTACCCTGCCCTTTGCTCCCAGCTGCGGTCACATAGCTGATCTGGGGCCTTTGGCCCGGGTTTGGTTTGGGTTTTAGAGCCGGTGGGGTGTGGGCTTTTGGAGGTTGGCTGTCATTCCCATGGTCATGCATCCGTCTGTCTGTACTGTCTCCCTTCCTGTCTTTTCTCTGCAGACATTTCAGAAATGCCTGGATATCTCCACTGAGGCTAGTCAAAAAGGAAATTGAAACTATTTGGATGCTGTTAGGCCATACCAATTGCTACTATTTCCAGGGAGTTCTTAGGCTCTGGAATTCAGAGATTTGTAAAGGAGTGTACCTTTAGCACCAAGGGATATTCTGGATGTGACCTATGTATTTCCTCTCCCTGTCCACAATTTCAAGATTAAAATACAACAAACCCAAAAGTTCGGTTACTGGCGCCAAGTTAGGTTGACTTAATTAACTCTTCCAGCCATTAGGCGCTGCAGTTTGTTCCTGATTGTAAGCCTTCCAGCCGAACCACTCACATTCCTCTGCATGTCCTTGCAGATCTGTTTTCTTACTGTTCTCAGCTGAGGAGCAACTCCTAGAACAACAGTCTATGCAGAATTTGGTTTAAACACACACATTGCACACGACCAAACTGTATGCTTTGGAAACCTCCAGCAACATCGATTCAAGGGCGGGTTTGTCTCTTCACACTGAAATTGAAAATAACCCCAGTGAAAAGCTGTTCTAAACCGTGTATGGAAGAAACACAGCCAGACGGCTTTTGGTAACGTTTTAGAACCTGTATCAACACATAAGGCATTCGGTACTTTTTTCCAGGAACCACAATGTGGGCTTCACGTTTGATTTTAACCTTTAGTGTTATTTATTAAGCGTAAATGACCAAAGAGAAGGCTTTAGTTTTCTGAATATTTGTTCAGTGCGAGTTCCGTTTCAATGATCGCTTTTGGCGTTGAAGATGGTGTCTTTCACATCTAAGGTAGTAGGGGTCATTGTTTACTTAAAAATCTCTCAATCTGTTAATATGCTAGGACCTTAAGTTAAATGCCTTAATGATCTGCCCATTCCTGGCATGGCTTCATCCCTTTCCGAGCTACACGTGGTGTCTTGTAAATAATAAACATTTTTGAGTCTAGATGTTCCAGTGTATTCAACATGTCTCATCATCTCAGAACATTTCCTTCAATGACTTGCAAATACTGACTCTTCAATCTGGAGTGTTTTGTCTTGTTTTGGCCTCTGATTTTTTTTTTTTTAAGGGAGTAATCTGATATTTCTTATTAACCTACCACTCTGCTTTGAAAAAAAGAAAGCAGCTAATCATAAACGAACACAGGTCCTGCTCTTGGGGCTCTGTTATCAGATCTGAGAGTTATTGGACACATACCTTAAAGTGATAGAAAGCAGAAACTATTATCCGAATGGTGATGCAACATGAAACCAAAGCTGATAGATTAATAAACGGAGAGGAAGTTCCCTGTTCACTTTGATTCTTTCAAAAAGAAGGGCTTGGTTCTCCTTCACTTAAGAAAAAAAAAATTCTTTGAGGTTTGTAAGGGAAAGTTTTGTGGTCTGCAAATACATAGGCGATCCTTTTTTTTTTTTAAACTCTAACTTTTGGTTATTTCCTGGGCTCATGATTTTCTTTCAAACTGCCCAGTAACTCCTATGAGTGTTAATGGTGATTATCTGTTGGTCTCCTGGCGGAGAGTAAGGTAAGATGGCTCAGAATTTTGTTGACAGTGGAATTCGCCAGCTGTTCCCTGGCGTGATCTCTTGTCTCCTTGACCTTTTTTATGGTAAGAGTTTATGTACTTAATTCTGCTTAGAAATAAGTGGGTGGGCACTTCAGCCCAGAAAGCCAGTAGGTTGTGAGTTTTAGGTTTCTTGTCATTTTAGATGTTTCACCCCCTTTTTGGGGGGCCACATCCCATTTCCTAGCACGTGACTTTCAGATGGATGGACAGGACTTGTAGATAACTTGGTTTCACACTATAGGGGGTTATTTAGGAGGATCCCCGGGTTGGGGCTGGAAGTGTGAGCTGAGTTCTGGCAACACCAAGGACTAGCTGTGTGAGTGCGGGCAGATTCATGTCTCAGAGCCTCAGTTTCCTCATCTGTTCAGCAAGACCATAGTGAGACCCACTTTGCAGCAGCTCCCGGAGGATTAAAGAAAATAATGCCTGTCCCCCTCCGTTAGCCCTGCCCGGAGTAAGAGCTTAGCAGACACCCGCCGTTGTTACGAGGACAGAACATGGGGGTGAGTTCAGTGTTAGGAATCTAAAACAAAAGGAGTGTGTTTTCTTGAAATACACATAGGTTTTGAAATGAAGGGAAAAAGTGTTTGGCAAAAGTAATTTTGACTTTTCTGGACTCTGAAATTCAAATAGTTCAAGTTTACCCATCTTAAGGAAGGAGGGTTTAAAAAAACAAAATCCA